ATACTTTAGTTTTTAGTATATGTGTTTAGTAATTAAATGTTTTTCAGAATAATTAATAGGCATCCAACCATGTACAGAGCAGTGGTTTTTAGTGTGTTGGCTTATGAGAAATCCAAGACTTTCATGCCAAAGATTCAATAAAAACAAAATAATATTCTAAATATAGGTATGAGTAATCATTAATATTTTCCATAATATATATAGTTTAAAAGTCAAGTAATTGATCCACCACATATCCAGCCCTATGTTAAGAGATACAGTAAATGAAAAGTGGGGAAATACAATTCTGTTTGATAGGGGAATATGAATAATGAGCATATTTATTGGCATTTGCTATTGAGATGCCAGTCATGTGCTAGGTACATTCTGTGTGGCATCTTGTTTGGCTTTTGCCTTCCCCCAGATACTCATAAGTCAGATGTCTACTATGAAATCGGTACTTAAGTGACTCTACCATGCAGTAGGGATGAAGATTTCTCATCTGGAATAAAAGGAACATGTGCAATTGAATACAGCCTATTTCTAATATGCCAAGGCAAAAGAGCCAAGGAAGGCCTGGCAACTGTCCCTGAAAAGGAAGGACAGTGGCCAGCCAGGAGTTGAATTGTATGATGTCAGCCATCTGAACTCCCTGCAACATGGAAGCCACAGATGGAGACATTTGTTTCTAGGAGTGAGTTCACTGTATTAGCTGGTTTTCTTGTTGCTAAGACCAAATACTTGACAAGGGGTAACTGAAGGAGAAGGGTTTTATAGTTTGATGGTGTGCAGCCTGTCATGACAGGAAGCTGGTCATATTACAGCTGTAATCATGAAGCAGAGTGGAATGGGAATGGGACCTGGCTATAAAAATCTCAAGGCCCACTCCCCAGGGATCCAACTTCCTCCAGTAAGGCTCAACCTCCTAAAGGTTCCACAGCCTTCTAAAACTATAGCACCAACTAGTTCTCTCTGCTCAAATGCGAACCCACAAGAGATATTTCACATTTAAACCTCAACACTCATAATGGAGATGGTGCCTTTGGCAGAACTTAAAACCCTTAGCATTATCTGCAGAGTATCGGGAGAAGTATAGAAATAGTGTCTCAATATGGTGGGTGAAGCCACCATGAGGAGTCTGTGGGCCCATTTTCCTTCACTAGGAGATATTTGAAGTGTCCCCTGTTCTGTAAACCTTTGCTTTTTCCTCCCTTGGCTATCTTTAAGCAAATTGTTCATTACTATTATACATCTTCAGACAACAGAGGACAGCTGTTTTAGTTTGCCTTCAGTAGAGGACTGACCTCTGAGGAAGGCAGCCATTTTCCTTCATCATCACAGGATGGAGCCCTGTCAGTGAAGTTTTGTTGAATGGATAACAAGCTGTCAAATTCTTAAACTCGTGAGCCCAGAGGGGGAAAAAAAATCTACAGCCCTTAGTAACTCTTTAAAGCTACAAAGCTTGTGGTGCAGGGCCTCTCTGTAGATGACAGTAAACATGAGATGAAATGACCAGGGCATTTTCTCCATTGTGATAAAGTTCTCCATATTTTTTGGTTTGCGAAGTCTTGGGCAGTAAATCAGTGAGCTCTGAAATGAAAGCTTTATAAATAAATTGGTTCCAGTGGGCTAGTCCTATGGTGGATGGTGTATTTTCCAGTCACAGTGACAATTTTAATGAGCCGTCCCAGTGATGGATGGTGCTCTCATGGCACTCTGTCCTTAGCGTGGTGAGTGTTGGTCCTGGAGGTTCAGTGTCCTGTCCTTATATTACAGGCCAGATCTTTACATGTGTCAAGGCAGGTACAGCTTGAAGTTTTTTATTTAACAGCAAGTTAAGCCTGAGGCCAAGCTCATAATGTCTTGATTGAGTGCTGTTGAGGGAAGAGAGTTTCTCCATTTCCTTCTGGATACAGATAAGCAAGTGTGTATTGGTGGCTATTCATTTACCCCCTGCCCCATTTATTTTCCTTTTGAAAGTATCTCAGCGGTTTTCTGGTTAGCTGATTTATGACAGCAATATTCAGCTAGAGGATACAAAGTGCGATCTTTTGAGAAGATAATCTTAACTTTGGATAGGAAACAATCTATTTTATTTACTTATGCAAAATGTATCACAAGACTCTTATTTCAAGAGATGGCTTCAGAAACTGGTTACAAAGATCGTTTTTTGTTGTTTTGTTTTGTTTGTTTGAAAAAATGGACTCAACAATCAGGCCTTTAAAGATTGTACTTACCCACTGAACACCTAGAGCTATGGTTCTCAAGCTGTGGGTCACAACCCCAAACCTCTCACATGGGTCTCCTAATACTGTCAGAAGACACAGATAATTACATGATTCATAACAGTAGCAAAATTACAGATAAGAAGTAGCAATGAAAATTATCTTATGATTGGGGATCACCCCAAAATATGAAACTGTTTTAAAGGGTCGCGGTATTAGGAAGGTTGGGAACTACTGGCCTAGAGGATTTGGTAGGCCTCCACGCCTCCTGTTGTCAGATGATCAGAGGTCATTTTGAAATATACTTCTGCACACACCTTAGAGAACTCAGGTGCCAGTTTGGGTTCACTTGGAAGGATGTCAGCAAGACTACCAGACTCCAGTTCTGCAATGCTGTCCCTCAGCCATCTTGCTGACAGTGCAAAGGGCTAACAGACATTCAGATTGACCGTAGCCCTGTAGTCACCAGTCATGCTTGTGGGCTCTAATTGTAGTTAGATTGTAACTGAAGTGTTGGGGGATGATTTCTCTCAATTCACCAAATTCCCTCTCTATATTCTAAAAAGAGGCTCAAGGGCCTGCAGATTCAGACTTTGACTGGATGGGTACATGAGCTGGCTAGGTTCCTAGAGCTGGTTAGAGGCAGCAGTAAGACCAACAGGGCCTCTCCCACTGCAAATTAGACCATTTCCCTTTCCCTGTGGAGTCCATACCATGAACATCCATTGTATCATGATGTAACATTTCTAGCATGTAGTAATGGTAATACTTGTTGATAAAAATACTAGAAGTACTCTGAAGAGGTGACATTACCATTTTCAACCCTTTGTACCCATGGAGAGTCTGCAGAGTTTGCTGGAGTATAGTGACAGCTCTACTCTTGAGTTACCAAGTGAGGGATGACATCTGGGAGTCAGCATTTCAACAAAGTACCAGCTGATGCTGATGGGCTCTGAGCAAGAGCATGTTATGTCAGGCCACTTGTCATTGGCCACCATGGTCTCCTTACCAGCTGTGTCACATTGTTCACTCCCGAGCAGGAAGAGTTACTGGTGACCCTTCTTTGAACTTCTCTGTGAAAGTTTTCATGGGAAGTCTTTAGATTCTGTCTTGAGGTGGGAGGGCTCCTTGGCTTTGAGTGAGATGGCCTTGGCACTCTACATTCTAACATGCTGCAAGATCTTGAATAAGTCACATCACACCTAGGCTTTTCTGGCCTCTAGAATGGGGGCAATATCTTCTAACTCATATATAATTGTTGGGGGATTAGTTTGGAGAAAATATAGGGAGAGTATAATGGCTAATAACCACATGGTGTGTCAGAGGCCAGTCATAGTAACATCTCAGAGACTCTGGGTCACAGATACAATGGCGGGTCCCTAAGATTAGCATGAATATGGAATCCCCCCCCACACACACACACTTGTGACACCAGCACAACTTATTGTCATGATTGAAGGAAGGCTGTTGCAAACAAACCTATAGTGCAAGCTGGTGTAAAAGTAGCCTGGGCAGTACCTGAGATCTGACAGTTGTTATTGGCATATATATTGGCATATTATAATGTTTTTTTTTCTGTAAAAGTTTGCTGTATTACAGTAGCAGTAGCCCCAGATAGCTCAAGTTCATGTGTCTTGACTCTATGCCTCACCTACTCTCCCATTCTTCAGTCGCTTTGGGCCCTAGGGACCCATAGGTACATGCCACATAGCCCAGGTGTAGTGTAACAAGCTATGCCATCTACATGCATGGAAACATGCTCTATGACATTCACACAATGACAAAATTAAACAGGCATTCCATTTTCCAGAATGCATCCTTGCCACTAGGTAATGCATGTCAGTGTTTCTCCCAGGCAGAATTAAGTAAGTAGAATTACTCAGCAGATGAAAGGGTTCAGAAACCAAAAAAGAGGCTATATTGGGAAAACAAGGGGTTAGGAGCAGCATGAGACTGCAGACATTTGGAAGACTTGACCAGAGCCTGGTCTGAGAGCTGATGTACAGGATGTCATTCACACCTGAAGGTACTGAAGGTGTACTGAAAACCCATACAGCAGAAACTGCAGCCCTGGAAGAGACTTGCTCATGGAAACCAGAGGGGACAGTATCCAGAGAATGAGTTCTAAGATACCACAGAGCTAGGAAAAGGCAGGACATGAACCTCAGAGCTACTGCCATGCCTAACATGCAGCAGCCATTGTTGGCATGGCAGTAAATGTGGGTTCTCTCACCTAAACTACTACGTTATGTCTTCTTGTCTAGCAGCCTCATAGTGGGACCTACATATATACATACACAGTAGTGTGGTCACAGGTTCACCTAGCAGGAAATGTCAGTGGGGAAGTCTTTTAACAGTAAGAGCTACTTCTTGACCAGTCGTTAAAGCAAACTGGCTTTAGGGGAGTAACTTGGCCCTATTTATAGCCTCAAGTCACACCACTGCATTCTGGTTTTGTACCATGAGGTTAGATTATCCAGTTACAAAAGACAAACCAGAAGCCATCAAAAACCATAGGTATTAGTAGCTAATTGTTAAGGTTGGGTGGAGGATGGGAAGGATGGAGAAAAATGAGCCTTTTGTTTTTAAATAGCAAAAACATGCCTTGAAATGCTATCACCCAGAGGTATTCATTTTTACCATTTGAACATTAAGATGCTACATACATAATATTGAGCACATCCAAGTGATCAACTTGTACCTTTTGTTTATAAAACTGGGTTGGGATAATGCAACAAATGGGTTGGTGGGAATTTAGAAATGTCTCCGGTGAAAACTAAAATTTCAAATGGAAACTTAAGTTTCAAAACAACCTTTATTCTGTTTGAGGACCTAATACAATGCATTAAGCAACTTAAAACAATACATAGCTTCACTGAATCTATAACTTGAACAAAATGTCAAGGAGGCACACTCCCTCCCCCCACCCCAGTTGCCTTGTAAAGGCAAAATTACAACTGACCATGACATCCTCCCTCTCGTCAAAAGACCAACTTTATTTTATCAATGTCATATAAACAGATTTGTAAAAACATTGAACAGAGTGTAGCTTTAAAAAATACACACATATAAATGAGGGTGGGTTTTTTTTGTTTTGTTTTGTTTTGTTTTGCTTTTTATTTTTTTCTTAAATAGCAGCATCCTGGGCAGCCAATGCTATCTCATGGTGACAAGTTCGGTGTGAAGTTGGAGAGTCTGTTCAATGAGCCACATTCTCCCTACCCTCACTACTAGTTATTTGATATATAACTATAGATTTTTGTAAAAAAACAGGAGAATTTGGCATTTTGGAACTTTGTCCCATGTGAGGCATTGTGCTTTAACTGCCCCTTTCTTAAATGACCCTAAATTCAAACAGACAGCAACGCCCACTTTTCCAACTGACTTAGATACCATGCATTGCAAAAGCACAGTTGGGAAAACCAGCAGGAACCTTCTCCCAATAAGAAACAACAGTAGGACTTCCCAAACAAGTTACTAGCTCTTAACCAGATATGTGACAAAGGGATTGGTTCCTCACACTGACAGCTCACAGAAACACACTCTGACTTGACAACACTGAAAACAAATATATGTCAGGTAAGCAAGACATTCAGACCTGCTCCCTGAAAGGGCGTAGCTTCTAAAAACAGAAAAATGTCAAATGATGAACTTCTCACTTTATTTGCCAACAATGTTCACCTTTACAAGACAAAACGAAGCAACATCAAAGGAAAAAAAAAACCCACACACATATACAAGACTGTACTAGACACCTGCTTGTTAGGTATTTGAACTCGACTGTGGATCTGTGTGGCTGAAAGGTGTACTGAAAACACAGTCCATGCACATATACATATATACATATATCCAGGGCCGTGAAGTTGTCAAATGTTGCAAACATATGCTTGCTGCCTTTTCATGTGGTTATGACCGCTCTGGTGTGGGATATGTGGTCCCAACCCCCCCACTGCTTTAGTCTAGCTCAGCCTTTCAGCAGCTTAGTGTCTGGCTGTCTTTAGGATGTGACAGTTGGTGAGAAAAGCTATGTGGGGATGCTTGCATATCAGGAGTGCTGTATCCATCTACACTCATGAACCACTCAATAGATGCTACTGGATGACTGCCTTGATGATCACAGAAACTTAGTAATCAGACTTCTCTAAGGACTGACTTGGTGGCATACTAACCTGTCATCAAAAAGGCACTCAGCAGGACAGGTGCGACACAGTTCACTATTGTGTAGAAAAATGACTTCTGCCTTCTGACTAATGGAAAATCTATTGTACCAAAGTCTGTGAGATGAGACATTTTTTGCAAGTCATCTTGCAAAGAGTGTTGAAGAAAAAAAACACTAACAGAACTTGGAATGGCTAATCTCAGATCTATTTTAAAAATTAAAATGAAAGTTATGTGTATGGGATAGCATACATGATGTGCTACTTTAAAAAAAGAAAAAAAAAGAATGGAAGAAAAAAAGAAAGCAACTCCAACCACAACCTAGCTTACAAACAACTATTAACTGTTCAGTCTTATGTGGCATGGCAGAATGCTACCATGGGAGGTTGCAAAGCCCAGAGTAAACCCAGGAAATCATCAATTGCCTGTCAGTAAGGACTCAGTCAGGTTAGAAGGGTCAAGTTTGCGGGCTCACAGTCTGGCTGACCAACTTTTGCTTGTGAGGATGAGCAATGGCTTCATAGGAAGAAAAACAATACATTCTACAGACCATTAACCCAGCCACCAGGCTGCAAATTCCAAAAGATGAAAACAGCAAAAAACAGTGGGTATGTCTAATATTGAGAAAGGGGAAATGAAGCTGAAGGTGCTCTTTGAATCTACAGGGCTGTGACCATGACTTTGGTTAGCTTCCACTCTTCACAGCACATGACAATTCCCAATGAACACACCAGCTTTTGCACATGCACATCAGGGTAGCGAAACTTGAACACTTGTCTTAAAGATGCCACCAACTGCTCCTTTTCCTCACCATCGAGTACAACATGCACAGTGATGTGAATGAGAAGAACTGCCATTTGCATTTCTTTTCACCATTTCTACAAAGCATAGTGACCATCTACTTGCACGTTCTACAGTGAATGGAGAGCTAGGAAGATAACAAAGCCCAATCGAAAGGATTGCTTTTCAGATCACGCTTTTGTTGAAACGAATGGTGGCTGGCTGCTGTGACTAACCCAATATTAAAAGGAGAAAGAACACATCTTCTAAATGCAGAGATTCAATCTTGAGACCAGTGTGTTCAACAACAACAACAAAAAGGGCACATTCCAGGAACCCCAAAACAAACTCAGCACTTCTTTCGTGAGAACAGAGATGCTGGCCAGCTACGCTGCGATGGAGTTAGAGTAGGTCTGGAGTTGCTGTTAATTAGTAATAACTACCAAATGGAGACAAAGCAGCCTCACTTCTCCCCTTCTCTGGAATCCCCAGAAAGTGCACACCACCTTACCTGCTCCCCTCCCGCCCCTCCCACCTGTTACAACCCATGGCTACCTTCCCCTCCAGATTCAAGAAGTTCACAATTCATTAGGAAACAAACATTGCCAGGTACCGTATTTCAAGAGTCTTAAAACAACACTGTTGGACTCAGCAATACTTTGTCACATCATATATCGTTTTCTTTTTCTTTTTTATTGAATAAAGCAGCTTCAAAGCTTATCAGGCCCTGCCCAACATTTAGTCAAAAAAAAAAAAAAAATCTGTTATGAACTTTTTAACCTTGGGCTAACAGCCAAGTATTCTGTACAAGAAAAACTGTAAAATATTTCATAGTTTTAATTCTTAAGCCATTTTCCTTTCTGGCATCCTGTACATTTCTTAAGAAAAAAAAAAAGTAAGAATAACAAAACAAATATTAACAAAAACGAGGGACAATATTTTCAAGCAACAAAAACCGGGGCATGAGGGAAAGCTTCTTCTGAAGGTGTGTTTGAAACTGGTAACGACGTAATAAAAAGTAAGAATTGCATAGCGCTGCACGTTTAGCCTTCAGCAAAACAAAACAGAAGCTATTTGGTATTGATACAAATCCATCTATTTGATAGTTAGTCACCCAATAATATGTACATATTTTATATACTGAATGTCATTTTAAGTTCCCTTGTCCACACTCCTTTATTCTGTTTGTGGGTTGTTGATTTGACAAGTTTTAAGCAAAACGTTTTCTGGTGTTTTTGTTTTTCCTCCGAACATACTGCATCAATGTTCTCTCAAAGTGTCCTGTGAGAGCAGACATGCCTCTCCGCTTCACATCATTCGTTCATTAAAAAGGAAGTAACCCACAGTGCGACGTGTCTGGGTTCACCACACCCAGCGACACCCAGGCTAAACCAGGCTGGACCAAGCGGTCCCAGGCCCAGGCTCTTCAGCCCTGTCTACCTTCTGGTCTCCAAAGTTCCAACTTGTAGCTGGTAAAGCTTCAGAAAACATTAACAAGCACCATGGTTAAAGGCCTCTTTGTCCCTGCACGGAGAGATTTTTGCATTTCTTTTTCTCTGTGTGTTGGTGTATGTTGTGGCTTTAAATTAAAAAAGAAAGAAAAAGGATAAGGTTAGAAATGTCTAGTCATCCAACAGCCCTAGGCGGCCGTGTCTTCCCCGACTTCTTTTTGTCCAAGAAAGCTCTAGTCCCACGTGCAGACAGCCGGCTTCGTTTCTGCAGCTCAGTTCACAGGTCGGGCTGGAGAGGAGCCCTTTGCTTCCCAGAGGCCTTGGGTGGCTTGAAGGTGAGGAACTGGATCCGAGGGTGGCGCGCGCTTCATCGCCTCTGTTGTGCATATACCGGGTATGCTAGTGTGACATTGAGGGAGTCATTGTGCTGCACGAGGGAGGTGTGTTGATAATGTAGCACCAGCTCCTTCAGGGAGCTGTACAGGTTGTAGGGCTCGGCAAAGCCATAGCCGGTGGCAGTCTTGTTGATTACGCAATGCTTGACTTCGCCATCTACCCTGGAAGGGGAGAGAGAACAAAAAAGTCTTTGGAGCTGGTCTCAGACAAACAGAATGCTGCAGGGTTTTTTTTTTTTTTTTTTTTTTTTTAACAAAGCCAGTCATCATGGATGGGCACAGTGAATGGGTCTGTTTCACTGCTGGAGAGCCAAAGCCCCAAAGCCACAGTAAACTATTAGTGCTGCTTTTACTGGTCAAGTCACACACACACACACACACACACACACACACACACACACATTTGGGCCTGCTTCCCTGGACTGTTAAATGGCTTAAAGGCGGGGGAGGCACAACATATGTATTAGGGTTCCTATGAGACAAGAGATGAGTGCTTAATAGATGTGTGGCTACATGTCACACGCTGCAAGCGTGGGACAAATGGCAGTTTCCAACCTCATAGGTGCTGGTATTGCTGTCTCTGTGAGACCTCATGCTAACTTTCCTCGGGTTATAATCGACAGGTCTCGTTCAGGCTCTCCTTGAAATGTTATCACAACTCTCTATCTTGGCATTTATTCTGAATTCTTCTATTCTCTCGTCTTAACTAAAAATTCTCCCTCTGTGGGTCTTATAGGAATTATTTTTAAATGAAGCAGTGATAGACTATAAGGTACTTTTAGTGTCTATCCACACAAGAGAACATTGTTTCTCTGTCCCGATGTAGCTAGTGAATCCAAAGCCATTGTTCTTCTTTTGTTTGACTTAGGGTCTCCATATACAGCCTGTACTAATCTCAGTCACTGAGTGCTAGGATTACAGACATTATGCTCAACCTTCCAATTACTTTTCAAGGTACTCCTGAAACTATTGTGCAATAAAAAGGAATTGGGCCTCAAGACAGAAATATGCCTCCTTTGGGGTATATCTCTGCATGATCTCAATGGGGTCCTTCCTCTTCTTGCTTTGGTCAATCCCTGAAGGGTTACTTTATGTTCAGTGATGTTCTCCCAAAAATGACCTTGCGTTTTAACTATATTGAGTTTTAGAGGGACAGGGAGAAGGCATGGCCATTTCTGTTTATAATTAAGATGAGGGGAAAAGCAACTACAATAACAACCTCAAGACATCTAGGGATTAACTTGTCCCAAGTGTCCTACTAAATGGTGACAGGGGTCTCTCTGTTAGGTTTTTTTTTTTTTTTTTTTTTTTTTTTTTTTTTTTTTTGGTTTTTTGAGACAGGGTTTCTCTGTGGCTTTGGAGGCTGTCCTGGAACTAGGTCTTGTAGTCCAGTCTGGTCTCGAACTCACAGAAATCAGCCTGCCTCTGCCTCCCGAGTGCTGGGATTAAAGGCGTGCGCCACCACCATCCGGCTCTGTTAGGTTCTTAAGAGATTCATCTTTCTGTCTAGACCATAGCATATGATTTTTTGAGGTTAAAACTTTTTTTCAGATCCTGATCTCTAGTGAACAAATGAATGAAATATAACGAGTAATTTTTCTAGAGTTACTTACACTACAGAGCAGGCATAGCAGCCCTGCTTACTGCTCTCCCGGACAAGAAAAGTGCCATCTCGCTTCCCCCGTAATAGATTCTCAGCTTTGTTTCGATTGCTGCTGCCAACATTCCATGTCTTTTCATCGTGGTGGGGCAAGTCCTCTTCATCTTCTACCAGTGAGTATTGGCTACAGAGGCAAAAACGGAGGTTTGTGAGTCAAGGGGGTGGAAGCCCAGCCTGCCCCCAAGTTCTCCTTCCGAGCAGGCGACTCAGCATCCTCACTACCTCTCTCCCCCCACCCCCTGGAATGGCTAGCAAAAGTTATTATTATCCCCACTTTCAAGTCGGCAATCACCCTTAGGTACCTGGGCAGAGGGCAAGGACAGTATTAAGAAGATTGCCAGTTCTCAGATAATTCATACTAAATATATACTTAACCTTCAAAATATACTAAATGTAATTGTTTTATACTCATCGTTCCAAAAATATTTGGGGATTTTTCTGATGTTCAGGGACATCATTATGAACACATAGGGTCAATTTACACAATTGTGGGGGAAAATAAAACAACACCCCTGTCTTCCTGGGCTCAACTGTCCCTTTGTAAAACTCTGGATAATGCTACTGAGTTTCTACATTTTTGCTTGAGAGATGTCCTAAGGTCAGTGAAAAACCTGCTAGCAAAACTCCACGCTGCCTGCCACCCATCTGCGGCAGCTACTTACTCTTCAGTGTTTTCGTTTCCCAACCACTCGTTCAACTTCTTCTGCCGAACACCTTTCTGCGTCAGCCACCTGAAAGAGTTTTGCAAAAGAGGAAAAGTATTGAGGACCCCCTCTTTGGTTTTAGGCGCTGTCAGTTCTTCGGGCTCTATTTCAAACACTTACATCAAGTATTGGTCTCTTGTCTTTCTCAGCTGAATGAGGTCTGGCTTAATGCTGTTCATGCGCTTGTCAATCTCGCGGTATTCGGCTGCCTGCTTCTTCAAGTCTTCCTCTAATCTCCTCCTACTGTCAATGATCTCACTGATTCGAGACTTTAGCTTATCATAGTTATGCATAATCCTGCAGGTGGGAGAAACAAATGGCTAAGTACCTGGATCAGCCATGAAGGTCCCCAACATTTAGGAAGCTTTGTTCATTCCATTTTAAAACTGCTCAAATGACTGGAAGGGAGAGCATTACTTCGACCACCAGTCTTAAACAATTTTTGTTACTTCTGTCACAAGGGTACTGGGGATGTTTATGGCGCATCTACCTTTGAATTTCTTTCTCGTTGCCTTCACGTTTAAACTTTTCTATGTATTCTTTGCTGTACCGCTCCTGGGTCTGGCATTGTTCTTCAAATATTTTTATGGTTTCATTAAATGCTTCGATAGCTGTTCTTTTCATCTGAATCTCCTGCAACACAAGTTTCAAAAGACAATGTCATCCCTTTCAGAATACGACTTCTCACTGAGAGAGGCAAGCTAGCTAGGGATGCAATATAAATGTGCTGCTAGTTGGTACAGACATCCGTGGGCACCAAAAGCTTAGCTACAGGAGCCCTCTTAGCCACTAACAGCCAGATGCTTAAGTTCCTTACTGAAGTGATGTAATGGCCACAAGGGGTATGTGCGATTTTTCTCATCAACTCCACATCATCTCTATATTGCTTAAGCAACTGTACAAGGGGTGGAGGTTGGGGAGAAGGCTGTACTATATACCCTCAATACAGGACCAGGGCATAGGGAAAGCTGGCGTGTATTCTATTATCAGAATTGGAGAGGAATTCACAAACTCTAGCCAAAGAATATAGAAACAGACATTTCTTGTGGAGAATTTTCTGTCTACTTTTACTTTTTAAAATTATTTCTCTTACTTTTTTTTTGAGATCACATTATATTTTCTTCTTCCCTTTCCTCTCTCTAAACCCTCCCATATACTCCCCATGCTTTCTTTCAAATCCATGGCTTCTTTTTCTACGAATGGTGTGTGTGTATGTACTCTTAAATATGTAAGTACAACCTGATCCATCTTTTAAAAGGAAATTTTATTTTGTATCATCCATGTTGCTTTGCAGGGGGATAGATATGCAATTTCCATCCCAGAGCTTGGACAAACTGACATTAGCAGTTATTACTAGTATACAGCCTGGACAGAAGTCTCCAATCAGGAATGAACTGAAAGCTCACAATAACCTGCCAGTTAGAAGCAGGATTAATGAGCGATTCTTATGAGCATGGGCCACACTGGAAAGGGCTAGACACAATTCTTCTTTTGAATCTGATTTATAACATGTGTTACTCCAACATATCTGAAACTCACCTGGGAAGTACGGGTGTATTCTTCATATAATCTATCATATTCCCGACTTTTTTCTTGAAATTGAGTATTATATTCATGTAATTTTTTCCCTACAGCTTCAATATTATCTTCTTTGACAACTTGATCCTGGAAGGATATACAAGGCAGAAAAAAGAACTCAACTGATAAGGTATTCACTCAAATAACAATCCTTAATGAAACAGTCAATGTGTTATCTCATTCAGTCATTGTGAAATTCCAATCATGGTGCAATGTTTGTCAAATGCCAATTTGAAATCATTTTCTGCGTCGGGGGTGGCTTGGTCCTGTGTGACTGCAGTGGGAAGAGTTCTGAGGACATTACCTGCTGGTATTTGGACACTGGGTAGAGCAGCTTCACATCCAGCTTGGGGTTATACTGAGCTAGAGACTCATTCCGGTAGTGGTTTATTAGTTCAACCACAGAGTTGAAGGTTAATGGATCAGAGAAGCCATATTTTCCATCTCGGTGAAATATTTTGATTAATTTGTTATTTCCTCCTTTCCTGTAAATATAAAGATAATGATTATTAAAGTTTTTTGATGCAGTAGTGAGGTGCTCTTGGGGGAGAGGAATGAACAAGTATGTTTGAAAATACTCTAAAGAAACCCATTACTTTAGCTGCAGGTTTAAGGAGAAAAAATATCTAATGAAGAAATATTTTCATGACAACCCAGACATCCCAATTACAGCTGACTCCCTGGCTCACCTTAGTGTAAGAGTATAATCGCCGTGCATTTTAGTAGATGCATCTCGTACCAAAAAGGTGCCGTCAGCTGTATCTCGGAGTTTTTCATTCACTTCTTCCCTGAAATGAACACAATATAAGACCATGCTTACTTTTCAACTTTGAATGACAGACAGCACACTGACAAGACACAGACAGACACCATCTTCCCTCCTGCACTCAGGATTGCTGCACCACTGGGCCATACCCTTAGCCTTAACAGACACCATTCTTTAGGACAGTGAGCAGAAAATGAAAGAGGTTCCATATCTTTACATTCTCCTGTCCTTGTAGAGCCACATGTCAGTATTGCACATTTTCAAAGGTAACTAACAATTTCTCTTTGCTTAAACAGAAATGTTATAAATTCATCCCACTAAACATAAGTGCATGATACATACACTTATGTAAACTATTTACACTATTGGCATATGTGTACATGTACCCATTTACATAACTGGCATATCTATAATACAAAGTTGTTTTTTTTTCCTTTTAAATCATTTTCTGATAAACCAACACAGAAAGTCATAATCCACAAAGAGGCTCTCCAAGCCCACTCACTAAGCACTCGAAAAGCTAAAAGGGTATGTGAAGGGAGCAATAACCCAAATCCCTAAAGTCCTGCTCACTGGAGAGAAAGCAGGCAGTGCTCTGTCACCCTGGTACGGTGCTTCCCTGACATCTCTGTCAACAGGGACACTTCCTGGGTATTTAATTTCCTGTGTCATCCAGCACCCACAGTGCTCCAGCGCTCAGTGACTTTTCTGGTCGTCTTTGGAAAAGAACCAACTATGCTTCATGCTTATGTTGGATGACATCCTAAAAATGGAATTCAGCAAGCTGGTGCTTTGTGTCCTCTTACTCAAAACCTCCCTGGTGGATGCAGAGCCCCGTGGCCTTACCTTGAGATGTCTCCCCAGTACCATTCAGCATCCTGTAAGGACATATTGTTGTTCATGCCGTTGTTGGCTACAGTAGTGGTCTTGGGTGGTTTAGGGGGCAGTGCTGCAGGCAAAGGAGGGAGAAAAAAAAGTTGTTTGTAATCCTGACTCCAAGTGCACACTTAAAATTAGGCTCGAATCTTTTCATATGAACAACTCGAATCTTTTCATATGAACAACATTTCATTACAACAACGAAGAGTAAGGGGGGGGGAAGTGGTGTAATTTTATTTTAACTAAAAATGCATGAAAATTCTATTTTCAGTTAAAAGGCAATTGAATTTACTAAGACATTTACAATGTGTGTGTGTGTGTGTCGGGAGGTGGGGGGGTGGGGGGGAGGACGACACAGACAGACAGACAGACAGACATAACTAGAGGTTAAGAAATAAGTGGGGCTAACTATGGGAGAAATTTTCAAAGCTAATCCAGAGTCAACATTTCTACTTCTAGATTTTAGCTGTGTTAAGTTATGTGCTCAGGCAGCTCCATCTAAAGTAACTAGAAACATCTGAGCTGCAGAAATAATAGGAGTTGGCTTCATTTCTTCTCTTCTTTAATTATGAAAGAGAAAATTTGGTGGCTCTGTCCTGCAGGAGCGCAGTAATCACATCTTTTAAGAGCTCCCATTTACAGCAGTGTGCTTTAAGAACTGGCTTTCTCTGTTACTTCTCCAGGCACAGCTCTGCCAAAGCCACTTTAGGAAACTCATCTGTGACCTAAATCTCCTTAGTCTTCATATTACTATTCTGCTGGGGGACATTGTGCTCTACATGTTAGGTCCCATCAAAACCCCTATCCCCTTCTTCAATGTCAAATCAGTATGCACATAGTGACAGAAAAAAGGTGACAAGAAGCCCTCAGCATTTCTGAATTTCTTCATTGCAGGGAAGGCTAACCCCAGAGGGAACAACCAGGATCCTAGATATTTAGCTAAATCCGAAACATTAACTTTGAAAGCACTGTGACTTCTTTAATTTACACCCCAGATGATTTCAGGTGTCTAGCAAGACTCTTACAAAGGCAAGGAAAGCCAACTTCTTTTTCCATTGTAGTATCTCAGCTTGAGAGAGCAAGCGAGTCTCCACGTCTGATTTAATTTACGAGAGTTTCAGGTCATCAGACATGAGTTTGAGTCACTGCTACATCTCACATGCTTTCTAAAACACCCGGCATTACCACAGCAAAGTACCACACTGCCAGAGTCCACAGCCAGCGGAGAAAACAGCACAAAGGACGCGTCCCCTTAATTAAAGGAACAATATACAACAATATAGCCCAACTTGCCAAGGATCACAATTAACAAAAGATGCCAGCAGCAGAAAAGTGGAATCTAGTTCCCATCCATTCAGCAAGAACCAGCATGTATCAAATACAGCCCAAGCTGCTTGCTGCTACAGTCAACAATCTGTTTAATTTTAAAGTTCTAATCAGACTAATTTTAAACCGTGAAACAAATCAGTAAAAATAGCAAGCCCAAGAGTATCTGTTACAGCGGCTTTCCAAAAAAAAAAAAAAAAAAATTAAGTCACATAATTAACTAGCTCTCTCCATTAATACTGCAGTATTACCTGGTGGATCCATTTCTATATAAAACATCAAGTCCATGCCACAGTTTATATCTGTCTTGGCACACTCTAAGTCCAGGTCTTCCATAGTCCAAACCGTGGTGTACATTTGTGCGAGAGTTTCCTCGGCTGTGCTCAGTTATAAGAAAAGAGTCCGGCTTTCTTTGTAATGGTGTCTTGGAATTCATTTTAAAACCTATACGGGGCTGCACTGTAACCTATTACATCACACGCCCCAGCCAATCAAGTCAGAAAAATGTCACCAGACCACTCCTGCTTCATCAGTTCTCCTGGATGCCAGCTTCACACAGCCCCAGCCTCTCTCCGAGAACCTACATGCCACACAGCTGCAATGTCTACATGCTCATCGTTTCGAAAGGTGTTTAATTTGCCTGCTCTCTTCCAGCAGTGAGTTCTTTAATTCCCTTTTTATTACTCCCTGCAGCATGGTACATTCCGCTGTTGGCAGACTGACAAATGGCTGATAAACTGCAGCTTCTAGCTCCGTCCTTAGTGCATATGGGCTTAGAGATAGCCTGGCTTTTCAGTGGCCTAAAAATCTTACAAAGGCATCAAACTACTACTCTTAAGCTCTATTTTATAGTTCTTAAATATCGGCCATATGTGTGAGAAGCAGAAAGGATCAAGCTCTCTGGATACTTAATACAGTCTTCCATAATTCTTAAACATAGTCATAAATGCACCTCATTAAAAAGGGAAGCTAAAAGAGTCCTTAGACAAAATGCCTGTACTAGAATATCCCAAGGTCAAAATAAGACTTTACAGAATAAATATGAAAACTCAGCACAGGAATGAAGATGCCTATTATTTGCAGAAACAATAATGGTCAACACTGGTGAGTTTCAATGTTTCTACCTAACAACACTGGACAACAAGATGCTTCTGCCAAAATAAGAGGCCATATATCAGAACACAGAGTTCAGGTGCTCTCTGCCAGTATCTCACTCAGAAACCCATCTCACTGCTAGCTGCTTTAAAGAAGGTGATGTACTCTCTCTCTCTCTCTCTCTCTCTCTCTCTCTCTCTCTCTCTCTCTCTCTGCCCTCCCCCATTCTTTCTTTCAGCTCAGTGCCTTACTCGGGGGACAATATTCCTTCTTAGCAGTGTTCAATATAAAGAAATCAATTTCCCTACAAATCTAATGATTTATTTTGGTTCTTTAAATCATTTTGTATGTAATTCTGTCACCACAACTGGAGCTTGAGGTCCACTGCCACTGTGAGCTAGAAGCTCCCGATTACGGAGGGGTACTGCTCCAGTGTAAATGTGGTTTCATTTTAAAAACTAGAGTGGGCTTTGTGGCTGTGGATGTTATGCATCCATGTGAAGATTTATGGAACACGGAAGCCCTGTTAGATTTCTATCACATTTGGAATCACATAGCATTAGAAATAGAGCAAGGCATTCTGTTCCCTGGCTGCTGTCCATTAGAGTCCCCTCTCTAGGGCATTTCTGCATTATTGGAGACAGTTAGACTCAACCCTATCTCTTCCAGTTCACGCTTCTCTATTTGCCTATAGGTTTAAATAAATCTAAACTAAAATTTAAATCTAAACTAAAATTCAAATAAAAATGGTAAAAGTGGTGATGAAGTATGTCCTTAGATAAGTTTTTTTTTTAAAAAAAAAAATGGTTAAATAAAAATGTTGAGTCTTCTCCCCAAAGTAAAAGAGATAAGTCCCCTTGGCAGTATAATCCACCGGTCAGCCCAAAGGGCCAGTGTGCAGCACTCCTACAGGCAGCCTAGCTGCAGACTTCTGTTGCCATGTGGCAAGGGGACCCAAGGGGCAGGTCAGAGAGACAGGTGATTTTCCATGTTCTCTGCAAGTTCTGGCTTGGTCCCAACTTCCTGACCCTTACTTTCTAAACTCCAAACCCAAACCCCATCTCTTCCCCACAGTGCCCCCCTCCCCCAGGACAGAAGGGAGTGTCT